AGGTCGCGGAATCAAAATCAGGACTGAAGCCAAATCTTGACGAATATTTCTAGTAAATTTTTAACTAATGAATTCTAAAAACAAGTGCGCTTTGGGTGCCTTTGTTGACTAGCTTGTGTTACTTTTACTTATACGCTACTACTCATTTTTCACGAACAATCAAGAAAAAATGACTTTTCTCCTAATATTATTTGTTCTCGCAGTTACTGAAAGAAGTATATTTCGAATTTTACAAAGTTGTGGTGAGAAACTTCAGGACAACCTGAGTTATCCATTTTTGTTTTGTCACATACTTTCTACAAACTACAGACAACTAAAGGCCCAGCTCATTCACTTGAACTCCTCTTCAAAGCATTTCGTTCGCCCTTTAAATTCAGAAATGAGGCCGGATAGCTCGAGAAGGCTTGCTATAGGCATACGGCGCAAGAGATGGCGTGCCATACAGAAAAGTCACGCAAAGCTAATGATCAAAATCCCTATGGAGTTGTCTGTCAATCGTCAAGCATGCCTTAAAAAACGCTGACGAGCACTTGCGCGAGCCTTGCCTTCTGCAGCGGTTTGCTCTCGGATGAGATGCTCCTCTCCATGTCCAGACTATTCGCCAATTGTTGACATTGCTCAGTTCGTAAAGAGTTTAGGCCAACGAGGGCAAGAATGCCCTCGTTGAATCACTTGCGTCACTCCTTCATAAAATGTGGTCATCTTTTCGTCTACGCTCCACTAAGGTTCCTTAATTTTTTTTGATTCGTAGGGGACATAATATATTGCCATTCTTCGTTTTTTTTCTTGTAAAATTGTGGGAATGATACTCTGTTTGAGCCGTAACAAGCTCTTGAAATCAGGTTTTTTATATGCCTGTAATATTAGGTCCTTCATAATAGACGTCTTCAGAGGCCTGACAGTGAGCTAAAATAATAAATTTGGTACTGTCAATTATATCATTTTTCACTTAGTTTACGTTAATAATATGTCGTCAATCAAGTAACCAAAGTTTGCTCAGTGTCACCACTTGTCGATAAGAAAAGTTTACTTTTCAATCATGAAACGTAAATGAAATATTTTGTCTTGTAAAAGTGTTCCTCCGGCGAAATTGTTGAATATTAAAAGGAAATAGTAAAGTATAAATTATATAGGAATTTTAAGTTATGAACTATAAATTATATGAGAACTCAAACAGTTTATTGGTATAACTTTGTACTACTCGTCTCAGACAAATCAAAGAGGAACGACCAGGGCTCGGCACAGCTGGCACCGGGTCAAGTTGGATATCGTTTTTGGAACAAAAAGCAAAGGCGATATCGTTTTTGCGACCGAAAAGGCACAAGAATTGCCAGTTTTTTAGTCGACGTTTCGTTTTCTGAGGGTTTTTCACGCAAGGTTTAGGGTTATAGGGGACGTCGTACGAAATTCTTAAGATTAAATGGGATTGGGTTTTGAAATTGTTCTGGCGCCAGCTCGTGCCGAGCTCTGGGAAAGACAGTTAAATGACGGTGACACATACTTTTTTCACCAATGCAAGTCGCTGCTCGTCACCTTTCGCCTAGAATGAGTTCGACGGAAAGGTTCATTGAAGTAAAAGAAGTTCTTTTTTTTCACAGCAATATGTGCAACTTTCTTAATTGCATACTGAATCAAAAACTTCAATTGTACCAGTATAAAATTGATTGCTATTAATCGTTACATAAGTTTTGTTACGCTTTTCTCCGTCTTCATCTGAAAAAACCAGAAAATTCGGCGAAGTTTCATATCTGGCATGCGTTTACGAACATGAGTAAATGTAAAGGAATTTTCTAACAATATCTCGACCTCCCATTTTATTTATCAAAAGTTCTCTCATATTTATGTGTTTTTGGGATCATCAGTAAATAATAAGAAGGCAGTCTAGAAGTTTGAGAAGAAGCTCTTCAACACCGCAAATCGAGATTTACAATATATAGAAAAGCTATGAAAATTCGGAAAATGTAAGTTATAAAGATTTTTCCCGTCGTAATAAAACATATAACCCTACTATTGAGATATAAGGAAGTTGCCATGATTCGTAATGCAGATTTTTTTTACTATAACTCCAACAAATTTGAAATTTAATAATTTTGCATACATTGTTGGCTACGGCTCACTTGTTTTCACCCTTTCTGCCGGTAATCTTATGTTGAAGCGGCATTCCTAACGCAGGTCTTCAGAAAAGGCAGTCCCCCCCCCCCCAACGAATGGTCGCGAAGTTTTTGAGAATCATTAACATAGGTTACAAAAATGTGCGATTGACTTGTTTATACTCTTGAATAGTTGAAATGAATAATCATAATTTTAAAAGTTTATATTGCCCTGAAAAGTTCTGGGAAGCATCTAAACAAATTTCGAATGCGTGGCTAACGCCACCCATCCTGACTCGAAAAATTATTTGTCGCCTCCCCTCCTTCCCCCCTCCCCTCTCTTCTGAACGGAAATCTGGGGACCACCACTGGAAGAAAGAATAAGAATACTATAAAAATTGAAGCTCTTGAAAATCAGCTGCTTATTTGCTAATTCATTTTTTCGCAGAAAATACTGCAATGTCTTTGGCTGCGAGGAAAGTAGTTTCAAAATTTCAAAATAGAACTATAAGCCACTTTTATGCGGGCTTGACATCAAGTTAGTGTCTTGCATGGAATCGAAACGAAAGTGATGTCGAACAAGGGCCAACTGAGTTGCTAGAGATTGACGTTATGAATAAGAGAAGCTACTCAATCAGTTTGGTCTATGATGGCTAAATTTCATTATCAGCACCCTCTCAAATCCACGATGACCCGAATCATATTGACCTTGGCGCGGCTGTACTTCCTAGAAGAGTCCAAGCGATTCGTCTGGGCTTGCAAAGCACTGATTGCGCCTATTCTAAAGAGCATGTGCTCGGCTCTCTGGAAGTTGTTGGTATCGGCATCCCCACTTTTTCGCCCTTGCCCCGACCAAAAATATCGCGTCTCATTATGTCAGTACGAGTTTTTCGTCGGCCAAGCTCGTCCTCACCCGTTCGCGCTGCTGTCTCACCTTGCCAAAATTAGTGTCGCTCGTCGTCGCGACACCGCGATGCGACATCCTCCGCATCCATCGCGACGTTCCGTGGTTTTCGACACTTTTCAAGAACGTCTAGCCTATCAACTGGTGCACGAACTCGGCGTACGTCGCCATATGAGTGTACAGTTCTCTCTAGGACCGGTAAGGCTTGAAGACTCCTAATCTAGGCGAACACAATAAAAAGAGTTTTGGTGTTTGTCCAGTGGAAACGCGATCTCCGAACGATTTATTATTCTCCCACGCTACCAAAATAGAGCATGAGATGTGCTAAGGAACCACCACTATGAACTAATTTTCACATGAGAATATTACAGCTAATTGTAGAAATATGCCGTCGAGTTGAATTTGACTGAGAAATTTCTGCATTGTGACTTCTGCCCTCTGCAATATAAAATGCAGTCAAATACTTTTCCATTTGCAATGTCTTTTGATAAATTATCTGTGCCTAGAAGAGCTGCAGATGTGTCAGCCGACCTTCACATGAAAGTGTGGGGTTTGATTTAGTCGCTTTTATAGAGTTAACTTAGATTGAACCGAAAGCCCGTTTGCACCATTTTTGAAAAATAACTCCCACCTTCCTGACTGGTTTTGTTCTATATTTACTGGAAAGAAAAAAGCATAGTTTTTGAGGACAATTTGCTGACTTTCTACTTAACATAAGTTGCAGAGATGGGAATTCGGCGAGTTTCGGTAATTTTATGCAAGCTCGTAAAAATCCAAAAATATTAACGGTAAAATTCAAAATATTCATTAATGTGAGTTTCATCACCTCCTCTCGCCACTTGAGCAAAGTTTGCTGATTGAGCATCTTTATGAAAATTTATGAATGGTTTTTCTATTTTCTGTTCGACCTAAATAATATCGACAGCGACGTAGAGCGTTCAAATTTTAATTAAAATTGAAAGGGCAATCTTTCTCATGTTTTCGATACTGCTACATAACTTCAATCTACTATTTTCATTAATCACCCATAAATTTCATAATCAACCGAATTATTTATTTTTCAAATAACGTTATAATATACAGTGAAAAATCTCAATCACACAAAGATGAGCAATGTATAACACAATGGCCGCTACTTTATGTGAGTATAGGCATAGTCTTTGAATAACCTAATGATACCTCCAGTCGGAGTTGCCATAGGGTAAAAAACACTCCACCCTCAATACTAATATTAAGTCAACATGTCATAATTCGCAGGACCACCGTCTGTCGGTGCAAGACGCGGCCGCAGTACTCGCGCATTCGCGTGCGACTAGCGGGTCGCGCACGGATTTGTCAACGGACGACGACACCCCGCACGGCACCACAGATCGTCGCCCGTCGCGACGTCGACGATCATCTGGACGATCGGGCGTGATCGCCGCCGGCGCAGCAGCCGCAGCTGTTGCGGACGGCTTATGCGAAACGGGGCGCTTGTCGCGCAACGATCGCCGTCCATCCGGGCAGAAACCGCGTTTCGCGAAGAACCACACGATGGTGCAGGTGTGTGAGAGCTGGAGAGGTGGATTGAGCATGTGAAGTTCATCAGTATGCTGTGCATTGAGCGTTTAGTGATTGTTCATGCGATTGTGGCATAAGAGAGTGCGTTGCTGACGTCATTTTGCGGTTGGGACGTAATTGCTCGTTAGATTCAGCGTTCGCGAAGTAAATTCGGAGATTCCTAGAAGCGTTGGGAATGGAATATGTATACAGCTTTTGACGTCATCACTATGCTTATAAGGCGCGCATTCTCAGAATTTTTGAGATTTTCGAACTAAATCGAGCATGCGTGTAAGTGCTTTTCGCATTATGTCATGTAAAAGTGTTTGCTCATAGACCACTGTTTTCCATTTTCGTGTGCGTCTGCATGGATTTCCTTTATTTTGTGGCAATACTGTGTTTGTGTTGTCCTTGTACAGTCCGTTTTCCATATTTGAAGTTCTTTATCCTATTTATAGTCCTTTTAGGAAGCTAGCAATCATGCTCATCACGACCAAAGATCAGCAATCAGTCGAAGTCATTCCGCTGGCGGTACAGAGCGCCCCGGGTCAAGCAAAGTTAATAGGAATATCAACAGGTGGGCAGTATTGCTATAAGAATCGAAAATGCTATGAATGGGAGAATAATATTAAAACGAAGACTAACGATTACCATCTTCAAATATATGAATGATTTCTAGTGTTTACAAGTTTGTACTTTTCTAGCAGCGAGAATCTTGGAAAAAATCTTTGGCCGGTGGGGGGGGGGGGACAAAAAATACAAGAAGAGCGGCATTAAGTACCCATCCGAAAAAGTGGGGTGGTTGACTTTCTAGCTTTAGCTATGCGTCAAAAAAGTTTTTACAAAGCTACTCAAAATTGTTCGCTCGAAAGTTCGCAAGGAATGATTGAGGACTAAAATCATGCTTCTTATTCGGTATGGATAGAGTGTCGAAATTAAAGACCATTGAAGTGGTTGAAAAATAGGCCAACTGCACTTTTCTACTTCTATTTGAAAGTTGATGGAAGGAGTTTCAAGCTTAGATGCTAAGAGATGAGAAAAGATTCAATTTTGTGGAGGTTGAGTGGCTAAAGTACAAAAAAAAGAGGAAATATTGTCACAAGTAAATTATAGAAAACTATTTTGAAGAGCATTTTTCTGCGATATCCTCTAAATAAAACATTTCTATCCTCAGTGCCAAATTTCCAAACCACTCAAAAGTTGCACTGCATGTAAGAAAATTTGTGCTATTCATTTAATTGTGAGGACTTGTAAGTCACTGCAACAATGATGGTTTTTAGAATTTTTGCAATTGCTTCTGTTATTGGTTAAACGCGGTTTCCATGGTAAACTCTAAACATTTTCCATGTTGTGTGACTGAGGTTTCTTGTGTGATGTCGAATGAAAAATCCTTTTCTAAGAATTTGACATATCTTGCAGAAGATATCTTCTCCCAAGTTACAACGTTTATTGAAAATAACCATTTCTCGGTCATTTAAACATTGATGACAGAAGCCTTTCTCGGACCAGCCAGCATTTTTCACATAAAATCACGAACAATTCCATCTACAGTACACCTACAGTAGGCGCTGGAATGCTGGCAAAAACAGTAGAGATTGTATCTAAATCCAGCACAAAAGAAAACTCCCGAAATTGGTTTGACACAAATTAGCAGCCATTTCAATGAGAGTCATGGTGTGTCAAGCCTTGACACACCATATGTGTCAAGCGGTCGTCAATGTGTTAAATACGGAAGTTCGTTTTGAGTTGTAGTAGAACTGCTGAGGTTGAAGCTATTTCATGAATTTTTGAAAATGTGATGTTGTGCAAGTCATTTCAGATTTTCTAACTTTGTCAAATCCGGGATGGAAGCATACATTCTCGGCGAGTCACGAATGAATGGCCAGTCAGGCGAAAAGCATGAAATCATTGTGAGTGATGTGTATATCCAATGCTTCTTAGAAAGGGGGCAAAAAACAAAATGCAAAGGAAACAAAAACTTTTGAACTGATGCTCGATTTTTTCATTGCACGGTCCATTTTAGCCACACTGCAGAATTTTTTGTTTCAAATTCAACAGAGATTGATACTTATCTTTTTGCTTGTAATGTTTTAAACAGTACAACGTGTAAATTTACAGGGTGTGGCAAAAGTAAGCACACACTTTTTTACTTCAATAACTTTCTTCCCACTGAATCTCTTAGCTTCAAGCACTATTCGGTAGAGAAGGCTTCAACCTAGATTTGCAGTACGTAGCAATCACCCTCTTCCTTCATTACTGTGAGAATACGGTAGGAACTTCCAGCATATAGCGTCATTGTAAAATAGGCAGTATGAGCAAAAGGTTCCGGAAAAATTTGGCTAGTTGTGTAATAGGGTTTTGTGGACATGCTGACTTCATCAGACAACTATTTTGAAGTTTCTGAAAACGCTGAAAATACTTCGTTGCGACTTAATTAAATAACTTACGAAAAGTCTTACAGTAATGTGCGAACATATTAGTAACCAGCGAGTCGGTTCAGCTTGATGATAGAGTTTTTGGCTCATTGAATGTTTGTTTAAGAGGCAATATGTAGCCACTAGTAGCCAAAACCCTCTTCAAAATTTTACCGTACTCCCACAGTAATAGAGAGAGTTGGGTGATTTGCTCCATATTGCTAATCCAAGTCGAAGCCTTCTCTACCGTATAGTACTTATGTTAGAGCTAAGAAAAAGACTCAGTGGGAATAATGTTATTGACGACCAAAAAATATGTACTTAGTTTTGGGACACCTTGTATACATACCATTTTTTACGTATCGTAGCCTGAACAGCGTGCTTTTCCAATTGAAAAGCGCCTAGTGCTCAGTCTAAAACATAGATTATCAAGGTTTACAAGGGAAGTCTTTTATGCTAGAAAAAAGTTAAATCTCTCATTGCTCATAAATTTAACACTAGAAAAGAGATCAGAAGGAGCTTCAGCTGAGCTCATTGCGGGGAAGCGTTAGTGTGTCTCTCCAATAATTTTCAGCTGGAAAGTGGCACCGTAAACTGTTTGTCCATCCGCATAAGATCTGAGATAAAGAATCAGAGAGATTGCCATACTCTTTAGATCAGTGGTCCACTCGTACAATGGCGTCCTATCCAGCAGTACTACACATGTACGGTAGATAAACCAAAAAAGGAGACGAAACTCAAAGGTCTCAAGAGTTTTATTGCCTATTCGCTCACCTCTACACTCAGTCGAATACAGGTTGGTCTACGATTTTTCTATGATTTAAATCCTATCTTGAAATGATTCAGGTTTCCCGACGATACAAACACTTTGATTGGTTACATGATCAAATGTCAGCAAAATATATAATGATTGCTATTCCTCCGTTACCCGAGAAGCAGGTGTCAGGTAAGATTTTGGTTATTCTATAGATCTTGCATTTTCACCTCCAGAAAGAAAATTGTAATGGTAGGCGTGAAATTTAAGGTGAAGCTGTCATCGTCTGCCTAAAATAATATTCACTTTTTAGGGCGATACGAAGACGATCTCATTGATCACCGAAAGCATATTTTACAATTATGGGTAAACAAAATTTGTCGCCATCCTGTACTCAGCCAGAGCGAGGTGAGCATAGTTGAAGAAAATTCTATTGAAAAATCGCTTTCAGGTGAAGAAAAGAATACCAAATTCAGCTTATCTAAATTTGTAAGCAAATCTCCTCATCAAATGTTTGACTGCCAATAAATCTGGGAATATCAACTGCAGAGGGCATAATCATTATATGCGCATAAGCTGCTTCATGCTTCAACTTCATTCGATTTGCTGCACTCAGAATTTTATGGGATCACATTCAAAATAACACTTATTTTCAAAATGTAGTTAGTACTTTCAGATGGTATAAGCGAGACGAAACGTGCTCTAGGACTCTATCAAAATGTTCATTCAGAAAGCTGTTCTGATGAATCTGTCCACAAATTCAGATCAAAACGATGGTCAAGAAAGTTTAATATCTTTCAAGAGAGCTTTTCCTCCCCTTTTAATCAGCATATAACTTTCTGTTCATGCAATAAACTCGCCGACCATCCAATACGTCGATTTAACCCATTGACGACGACGCCTATTGCGTGGCGGCGCTGTGGAATGACGCGATTTTGCACAACACTTTCGGTATGGGAAGGTTTTGCGGTTACTTACGAACTTAAACGTTGTTTCGTTAATAAAACTGTATACATTCTCGAACGGCGGAGCGTACAGTCCCAAGCGTGCAAAAAATTGGAAAAAATATCGGTATGTGAAAAAATGCCAGACCTACAAATACCATGACTTTGCAAGAGGTATGGGCCACCGGTGGTCCATATCGTCGTCAATGGGTTACAAATGGCCTATTTGGGAAATATCGTTCAGCGTTGGTGTTATGGGAAAGAACAAAGCGACATCGACAGCGACATATGATATAAATGTTCAAAGACAACTCGTCCTCAAAACAAGATTTCCATCTGGAAATGAGAGATGGCATTTTTAGTGACACTCTTATTGTTATTATATCTGCTCATCTAACGATAAGAGGCTACTAGGGTATTTTTTATTCATCAGAACTGTAGTCCTCTAAAAATCGTGTTCTCTCTTTCCCGTTGAGATAATTATACCTAATTTTGAAAAGCAAGGAACGAGGCGATTCCGAAGACTTTCTTATGGTTGTCGCTACTCGCCTTCTGCAAAAAAGAATTTTTTATATCTTATTTGTCAACTTAATTTATGAACACACGTGGTGGTTATGGCGACAATGACAAGTATTGTAGTCACATACTGTTTCCTTACTGGTAATGCTATTTCTTTCGAAAAGTCATTGTTTTACTAAAATGAGCATGCTGAAGTTTGAGTTTTTGAGTTTGTTACCATCACCTACTTTATTTCTTCCAGGTATGGCTACATTTCATTACGTGTACTGACGAAAAGGAATGGAAAAATGGCAAAAGGAAAGCCGAGAAGGTATAAGAAATCATTGAATAATCAACTTAAATAATTTGATTCGAGTCGTCTTTGAGTTCTGTCTGGACAAAATTCGCTGAAAAATGATATTGAATAACTAAATCAAACAACTTTATCATCTATGATGCGGCTAATTCCAGGATGAATATGTCGGTGGCAACTTCTTCAACTGTGTAACAGTCCCACAATCTCCACTTGACCTTGGTCATGTGTAAGTTTCACAAAATTTATATTCTATTGAATCTACAACTATGTAAATGTTCCTTATTTAGTGAACGACAAGTGGATAAATTCCAAAGGAGTGTAAAAACTACTGAAGATGCAATGAGAGTCATGCAAGAACGATTAAGTATATTCCAAAAACTTTTCGTTGGGCGTAAGTTTTCAGTTCGCTGGATTACTTATTTTTCGAAAATCGTAGGTTTCAGCTGTGAAGTCAAACTGGCAGAAAATGGCACTCGCTTTTGTAACATTAGCTCAGTCATTCCATGCGGATGATCATCCAGGTATTCTCTAATCTACTAGAAAAACGTCAGCTTCATGCTCTGGAAAATAAATTGTATAACCTTTGCGACTCTAATTTTTGACTCCAATTTTGTTCCCCATAGATATCAAGCATTTCTGCGAAAAGTAAAGGGGGGGGGGGGTTGCACAACTTGCGGCTTCTCTGAAGTATATTCTGGAAGTCCTTATCATAAAATTGTAAGGTTATGACGACTTGAAGCTGAACATGTACCACAGGATGCCCCCAGTGTTTCGCCCTTTTCAGTTTTTGGCTAATCGATTTCCATCTTTTCGTTCTCTTCCCCATCCATCACTTTTTATCTGATTGCTCTATACATTTAGAAATAAAGTAATTGTTTGTTCTTCAAAATTTGCCTACTGATAATTAATTTTCAAGGAAGCAACCGAATGGTAGACGCCCTGAAGCAAACAGCCCATCACTATCATCAAATAGGTGACGATTTCGAGGCACATTCGAAAAATGACATGGAACCAGTCATGGAAAGCCTTTACTCGTTTAAAGGCACTATACAAACAGCTCCCGATATTTTACATGTTCATAAGGTCCGTATGTAGACTGAGGCCTTGCATATTTTGAAAAAAAAACTGTTTAGCAAGCGATTCAAAAATATCGTGAATGCGAGGGGAAGCTCTCACACGCAGATGCCGAGCGCATCAAGCGACGGGTGGACTCGTCGAGTTATGCTGTTTTAGCTGAAATGAATCATTTAAATACAGAGAAGGTGAGTAAAAGATTTTTATAGTACGACAATTTTCGACATTGTAAAAGAGGGTGAGAAACGAGTTTCTCCACTAGCCATTAAACAGTTCGTGACGGCTCAGATCTTACAAATTTGTAACGGTAGTTATCAAGGAGAGACTTTCCGTCATATTTGTTGATTCAACTGTAATAAAGTGACAAAATCTGTAAGGCTAAATAGCGTTCAGAGTAGCAGTGTGCCAGCCCCTTGTCAGCATCGTTCCAGCGTTGTGCCAGCACCGCGCCGGAACTGACGTGAACGCTTTCCATATTGATCGATCCACGTTTTGGCACGGCGCTAGCGCAGCGCTGGCACGAGCAAATCCGAGCGCTTTAACATTAAAGTATCTACGTGCTCATAGGTTATATAGGGTTACGGAAATAGATTTACAACGCTTTGAAGCTTTGCTCTAAATTACAGAAAGAAAAAACAAAAAAATAGAACATAGTAAAACTAAAAATTCCCATTTCAGTCTTCATATACACTAGATGGAAATCAGAAGAATGATTTTGTATTCACTTCAAGTCGATATTTTGTATTTTAATAATTAATGGAATCTACTTTCAGATTGAGGACGTTCGTGTAACAATGTATAATTATTTGAAACGACAAGCGGAATTCTATCAAAAGATGGCCAATTCGATGAACGACATGGCAAAGTTATACGAGTTCTAAGCTGATGACATTCTGTTAATTTGTGATGATTGTAAATGCATCTCTCTTGTACTTTCTGCTTATCCAGTGATACCTCGATTATCCCTGTAAAATCGCAACTCAGATTATCGCGAGATGAGAATAAGTTCTGTTTCCATTTTCTACACTTTCTGCAAAGCTAATCATGAAAATTACGAAATCGGTCGTAGAAGTTAGCCAAAACGAGGTAGATTCAAGTGCTAAATATGCCCTTCCAAAAGAGAGAATGGCTGCCTCTATTTTTCTGCAGTAAATATGAAATGAAAGGCTTTTTCCGTTTTTGTACATTTGTCAGCCAATTTGCTTCTCGTAAATTTAAGAGAAGAAAGAAATTCTCTTAGTTTCTGTTACACGCTTGTAAACTTGAACATCGCTTGATTAGGTAACAAGTTTGATGAGCGGCCTTTAAGTGGAGAGTCTTTTCCGAATTCCAACCCGAAGTTCTTATTGCGATGTATTGCCTTTCATCAGGTTTAGCTGAATTTTATTTTCCTTTCGCCTCGCCTTTCCGTCAAGCTAAAACGCCTTGTTCAGCAGTTGCTTGTCTAGATATTCAAGTTGAGCTTCCCTGGTGCCACTTCTCTCCATTTTTCTCTCTGATATTTCACACTTAAGCGTTTGTGAAAAGAAGTTGCCGATTACTGAATTTGGCCGTTCCACATGCAAAAAGCTTGATTGTAACATATAATTTCGATTTAGCATAACTATCTGCCATACACTTCACGTTTTGTGATATTGGTTGATTTCAATCTTTGTGAGATTTGGAAACTATGAATATAAAGTTACCAATTTTTAACTTGTGTCGCTCCGTGATACCCTAAAAGTTTTAGAGGTATCGTCCCCCAGATTGAGGTTGGTGAGATTTTGATAATAGGGGGGCCCTAAATAAGTAATCTCTCAAGCACCGCTGCAAAAGGTGAATTCGCAAATGAGAAAATCGTTCGAAAAGGTAGAAGCGGTCCAGGCGGTACCGCCTATCAACGTGGGTGACTCGATAAGTCCAAAGGCTGCGTTCATACTGATCCCGAAGTCTGGGAACAGTTCCAGCACAGCGCTCAATTTGAACAATGGGCTGAGCCCAAGTTTGGACTCATTATCTTTAGACCACCCACGTTAGTGGGTGGCGCCACCTGGGCCACTTCTACATTCTGGAGTAATTTTCTCGCTTAAGAACTCACCTTTTGCAGCGGTACTTGGGCGTTCACTTAGTAGGGGCCCCGCTGTTATACAACATCAAAATCTCACCACCTCAATTTGGGTGGACGTTGCTTTGAAAGGCAGTGTACGGGCAAGAACTCAATTCCGACATCTTCCTAATTAGGTTTTCGTTATGCTGATCAATGTATGACGTTTGAAGCCCCAAAACTGCAAAAGAGGCTTTTCTCAATGCCTTTCACATCGAGTAAGGACGAGTAGAACTGTACCCTGCGTTGGAGTCCCGAACCGCTATGGGACCTCCCTACACGTTGCATTGGTGGCATGCGCACTACCGCTGAGATAGGAACCCAGAGGGCAAGACTCCACCATTAGGGCCTTAGCATCTCAGCTTCCCGGAGTTCTCGCTTACGAAAAGGTCTTTGGAAGCATGGTCCGAGCAAGGTTGATGGTATGGGATTTCACTGACATGTGAACACTCCCGACCACCATATTGCGTCCTAGAAAGCCTTTTTGTATTAGACTAAAGGTGAGACGCCGTTCGGGAATTGGGAGAATAACTATGTCTACGACATACAAATCAAAAACAACGTTCGTTCAGCATCGATACTTTGTAAGGCATGAAATGCAGTCAATGACGACTAACTTCTATTACTTCATCGTAGTCGGACAGAATGGCTAGATGTAGGGCAAGAAGGCAAATCAACTTATGTTCGGATGGTCTAGTGGATAAGGTAGTTGACTTAGAGGTCTTCAGGGTTTCGCTCTTGCACTAGTATCCACAATTTTTGTGAACATTGAGACTAACAAAGCAGGGTAACGATCGAAGAACCTATGGGGATAAGTGACTGGGTCGAGTGGAGAGTGAACTGGTCTGTCAGATACTTGTTGGGGGTTCGATTCCTGGTGCATTTGGGGTTACCGTGGGTGCGGTCTGGGATAGGTCGTGTGGGGACCATTGGTTGGGACGACTGTTCGTCTCTTCGGGTTTGCCTGGGGGTGGTTTTGCGGTTTTTGTGGCCGGGTTTGGGTGGCTACGGTGTGGGTACTGCGCCGGGTCGGTTCATTTGCTCACCGCCTGTGCACTTGCTTTCCTGCTCTTGGGCTTCTGGTGCCCCGGCTGACTTCCCTCCTGCTCCCCTCCCCTGGGGTGGGTGCTCGGTTGTCTCTCCAGCGCCTTCCTTGTGCCCCTCATCCTCTGCTTGCTCCCCGTTTGCCATGTGCTCGCTGGGGTGCGCCCGCTCGCTCCACTGGCTTATATTTTTACTCAAGAACCTATTTCCTTGCTTCTTATCCCACATACTTTTGAACATACCGTAAAGTGTGAAGAAATTCAGCTCTCAAATCCAGCAAATTTATCTCCCACGTTGATAAAACTTTCATTCTACATGACATCTGAAGGATTGAACCCAGCGAACTTCAACTCTTGGTTCCGCGACTTACCTCTAGACCATATGAGGCATTCCCCCTGAGTGCTATTGCCTTGGTTTTCAACTAGACTCATCTGGTCATGTATTTAAAGATAATTTCTGCAACTTTTTTTTTGGTTTAGTCAGTTTTGGGGGAATGTGATTTTTGCAAGAGAAAGTTTGATGTCTGGCAAATCTGATGCCAAGATCTGGATTCGAACCTTTGACCTTATACATAAACAGCTACTTTCTTTCCACTTGCGCCATGCAGTTCAGTATTATGAGGATTTTATGTGTCTATATAAAATTGACTTTTATAATAAAGAGTATAATTTGTTCTTTCGCGCAAGTGTTCGAGCACAGCAACGTCCTCTATTTTGACGGATGTAATGTGAAGAGATTCAATTCGCATTGCCATAAAGTATGCTGTTTTCCCCTGAAATGAATGTATTGTTTTGATTTCGATTAGCATTTCAATCATTTACCTTCAAGTAAGAGTTTTGCAAAATCACAAAGTATCGAAAAAGATTTCGACCACGGCAGGATTCGAACCTGCAATCTTCTGCTCCGTAGGCAGACGCGTTGTCCATTGCGCCACGCGGCCAGTTGCCATGAAGTATGCTGCTTTGCCCTGAAATGAATGTATTGTTTTGATTTCGATTAGCATTTCAATCATTTACCTTCAAGTAAGAGTTTTGCAAAATCACAAAGTATCGAAAAAGATTTCGACCACGGCAGGATTCGAACCTGCAATCTTCTGCTCCGTAGGCAGACGCGTTGTCCATTGCGCCACGCGGCCAGTTGCCATGAAGTATGCTGCTTTGCCCTGAAATGAATGTATTGTTTTGATTTCGATTAGCATTTCAATCATTTACCTTCAAGTAAGAGTTTTGCAAAATCACAAAATATCGAAAAAGATTTCGACCACGGCAGGATTCGAACCTGCAATCTTCTGCTCCGTAGGCAGACGCGTTGTCCATTGCGCCACGCGGCCAGCTGCCATGAAGTATGCTGCTTTGCCCTGAAATGAATGTATTGTTTTGATTTCGATTAGCATTTCAATCATTTACCTTCAAGTAAGAGTTTTGCAAAATCACAAAGTATCGAAAAAGATTTCGACCACGGCAGGATTCGAACCTGCAATCTTCTGCTCCGTAGGCAGACGCGTTGTCCAATGCGCCACGCGGCCAGTTGCCATGAAGTATGCTGCTTTGCCCTAAAATGAATGTATTGTTTTGATTTCGATTAGCATTTCAATCATTTACCTTCAAGTAAGAGTTTTGCAAAATCACAAAGTATCGAAAAAGATTTCGACCACGGCAGGATTCGAACCTGCAATCTTCTGCTCCGTAGGCAGACGCGTTGTCCATTGCGCCACGCGGCCAGTTGCCATGAAGTATGCTGCTTTGCCCTGAAATGAATGTATTGTTTTGATTTCGATTAGCATTTCAATCATTTACCTTCAAGTAAGAGTTTTGCAAAATCACAAAGTATCGAAAAAGATTTCGACCACGGCAGGATTCGAACCTGCAATCTTCTGCTCCGTAGGCAGACGCGTTGTCCATTGCGCCACGCGGCCAGTTGTCATGAAGTATGCTGCTTTGCCCCGAAATGAATGTATTGTTTTGATTTCGATTAGCATTTCAATCATTTACCTTCAAGTAAGAGTTTTGCAAAATCACAAAGTATCGAAAAAGATTTCGACCACGGCAGGATTCGAACCTGCAATCTTCTGCTCCGTAGGCAGACGCGTTGTCCAATGCGCCACGCGGCCAGTTGCCATGAAGTATGCTGCTTTGCCCTAAAATGAATGTATTGTTTTGATTTCGATTAGCATTTCAATCATTTACCTTCAAGTAAGAGTTTTGCAAAATCACAAAGTATCGAAAAAGATTTCGACCACGGCAGGATTCGAACCTGCAATCTTCTGCTCCGTAGGCAGACGCGTTGTCCATTGCGCCACGCGGCCAGTTGCCATGAAGTATGCTGCTTTGCCCTGAAATGAATGTATTGTTTTGATTTCGATTAGCATTTCAATCATTTACCTTCAAGTAAGAGTTTTGCAAAATCACAAAGTATCGAAAAAGATTTCGACCACGGCAGGATTCGAACCTGCAATCTTCTGCTCCGTAGGCAGACGCGTTGTCCATTGCGCCACGCGGCCAGTTGTCATGAAGTATGCTGCTTTGCCCTGAAATGAATGTATTGTTTTGATTTCGATTAGCATTTCAATCATTTACCTTCAAGTAAGAGTTTTGCAAAATCACAAAGTATCGAAAAAGATTTCGACTACGGCAGGATTCGAACCTGCAATCTTCTGCTCCGTAGGCAGACGCGTTGTCCATTGCGCCACGCGGCCAGTTGCCATGAAGTATGCTGCTTTGCCCCGAAATGAATGTATTGTTTTGATTTCGATTAGCATTTCAATCATTTACCTTCAAGTAAGAGTTTTGCAAAATCACAAAGTATCGAAAAAGATTTCGACCACGGCAGGATTCGAACCTGCAATCTTCTGCTCCGTAGGCAGACGCGTTGTCCATTGCGCCACGCGGCCAGTTGCCATGAAGTATGCTGCTTTGCCCTGAAATGAATGTATTGTTTTGATTTCGATTAGCATTTCAATCATTTACCTTCAAGTAGGAGTTTTGCAAAATCACAAAGTATCGAAAAAGATTTCGACCACGGCAGGATTCGAACCTGCAATCTTCTGCTCCGTAGGCAGACGCGTTGTCCATTGCGCCACGCGGCCAGTTGCCATGAAGTATGCTGCTTTGCCCTAAAATGAATGTATTGTTTTGATTTCGATTAGCATTTCAATCATTTACCTTCAAGTAAGAGTTTTGCAAAATCACAAAGTATCGAAAAAGATTTCGACCACGGCAGGATTCGAACCTGCAATCTTCTGCTCCGTAGGCAGACGCGTTGTCCATTGCGCCACGCGGCCAGCTGCCATGAAGTATGCTGCTCTGCCCTGAAATGAATGTATTGTTTTGATTTCGATTAGCATTTCAATCATTTACCTTCAAGTAAGAGTTTTGCAAAATCACAAAGTATCGAAAAAGATTTCGACCACGGCAGGATTCGAACCTGCAATCTTCTGCTCCGTAGGCAGACGCGTTGTCCATTGCGCCACGCGGCCAGTTGCCATGAAGTATGCTGCTTTGCCCTGAACTGAATGTATTGTTTTGATTTCGACTAGCATTTCAACCATTTACCTTCAAGTAAGAGTTTT